CACTTTTCCGTTACACATCGTTTTCAGCTCGGTATCCCCTTAATCGTTACCTGTCGGTGGGTTCCCTAATTTTATAACGTACCTTATTAAAAGAAAGCATCGTCAGAGCATTTTCCAAATATTCAGCTGTGAACGAGCTGACGTAATTGTTGTTCTGATATGAAGGTCAAAGGACACAGAATAACAGAGCAGTACAGGAAGAACATGACCCACTACGTATCGAGGATAAAGAGCGATGAAGTCAGTGATTGCTTAACTTCCTAATTGTCATGAAATATGTTAAGGTTCCCTAGGGTTTTCATTGGTTGTATAATTATATAAAATGCATATTTGGGTTAACGAGAAGCTTTTGTATGCGCCTTTATCAGGAGTACCCAACGACAGTTTCGAAGGAAATCCACCGTACAGTGTGCTCAACATTACCCGAGTGTCGCCCCGTCAATCTTGTTTAATATTTAACTTTCCTGGGAAAAAAATACCCGCTCTTCACCGCCAGCAAGCAGGATTTTGAATTTATCGGACTCCCAGCCAGCAGTCGACGTTGAGGTCGTCAACGAGCCAGCATGCTTTAAATTTGTCACCTAGCTAGCCAGCATAAGAAAAGTTTGCCAAACGTTTGTCAGCATGTTCGAGTATACCATTTTTTGTCAGCCAGCGAGCGAGTAATTTCAATATACCATAGCAAGGTGCGTTTCCTTAAAACTATTTATGTAACAACGGATTTAGTATTACGTATCATGGACACAAAAACGGTACGTTAATGGTTTCATTTTTACATTTGACTGCAAAGTTTTTGTAACACTTAAAAGATTACACTTACCATACAACAGTGAAGAAAAGGGAAAGATAACATGTGCTTACAGTGTTCTGATTATCCTTCAGGGATACAAGCTTCACTCTGAAAATAAATCGTCAATTCCCTCCAAAAGAAGAGTGAAGTATAAACAGTGTCCGTTTAGTTAACAGGCTTAATCTAGATATTGATGAAGATCTATCGTTGTTATCAGATTATAAATACAACAAGCAACCTATCAGTTGTTTCAAACGCTTACATACGACAAACTTTCACATTCATTTCATTTTCCACAGTTATTTTCCAAAAAGTCAAGGAACCTCCATGGAAAGAAAGATTTTTTAGCTCATGAAATATAAGCAAGAAAAGATTCCTGTAAATTCTTCACCGTCTCCACAATCTCAAAACCCAGCTGTTTCGTGGGCAGTTCTTTTTTTCTATTAAGGTAATGCACTTACACAAAAGTCAGAGTCATAGTTCAGTTCCCTTCAGTTCTTTGATAGAGCATTCATCAGAAAGGCCTGAACAGTACATGTGAAGGACGAGAACATGATTGTCATGATTGTTCAGTGGTGAAGCAATTGAGAACCTTGAACGGTACAGGCAGAGGAGAAGATGATTGTCTTGATGGTTCAGTAATGATTCAGTTGAGAGCCATAAACGGTACAGGCGAAGGACTCACGACAGAAGCCGCAAGGAT